AACGGGAAGACCACGTACCGAGGGGAGAACGGGAAGACCGCTTACCGAGTGGAGAACAGGAAGACCGCTTACCGAGGGGAGAAGGGGGAAGACCACTTACCAAGGGGAGAACGGGAAGACCGCTTACCGAGGGGAGAACGGGAAGACCACGTACCGAGGGGAGAGCCGGGAAGACCGCTTACCGAGGGAGAGGTAGAACGGGAAGACCGCTTACCGAGGGGAGAACGGGAAGACCGCTTACCAGGGGGGGGGGAAAACCGGAAATAAAAATGTTATCACAAAGGGACTGTTTGCCACAATGGCCACCTTCCCACATCCCGGGAGAGGCATTTATACCCGGGACTCCATCTGAGGATGGCCACCTTCGCACATCACGGGAGAAGTATTTATACCCGGGACTGCATCCCGAGGACTGCCACCTTCCCACATCGTGGAAGAGGTATTTATACCCCGTGACTCCTTCCTGAGGATAGCCACCTTCGCACATCCCAAGAGAGGTATTTATACCCTGGAATCCATCCCGAGGACTGCCACCTTCCCAATCCCGGAAGAGGTATTTATACCCGTTACTCTTTCCTGAGGATAGCAAGCGTCGCACATCCCAGGAGAGGTATTTATACCCTGGAATCCATCCTGAGGATGGCCACCTTCCCACATCCCGGGAGAGGTATTTATACCCTGGACTCCTTCCTGAGGATAGCCACCTTAGAACATCCCAAGAGGGGCATTTATACCTGGGAATCCATCCTGAGGACGGCCACCTTCCCACATCCCTGGAGAGGTATTTATACCCAAGACTCCATCCTGAAGGCAACCACCTTCACACATCCCGGGAGGGGCATTTATACCAGTGACTCCAGCTCGAGGACAACCACCTGCCCAGATCCCGGAGGGGACATTTATGCCCAGGACTCCTGAGGATAGCCACCTTCCCACATCCCGGGAGGGTCATTTATACCCGGGACTCCATCCCGTGGACGGCCACCTTCCCACGTCCCGGAGAGAGGTATTCATATCCGGACTCCATCCTGAGAAGAGTGTGGAGGTATGACAGTGATCGGTATGTACAGGAGAGAAGTGTGGAGGTGTGACAGTGATCGGTATGTACAGGAGAGGAGTGTGGAGTGTATGACAGTGATCGGTATGTACAGGAGAGGAGTGTGGAGGTATGACAGTGATCGGTATGTACAGGAGAGGAGTGTGGAGGTATGACAGTGATCGGTATGTACAGGAGAGGAGTGTGGGGGGTATGACAGTGATCGGTATGTACAGGAGAGGAGTGTGGGGGTATGACAGTGATCGGTACGTACAGGAGAGGAGTGTGGGGGGTATGACAGTGATCGGTACGTACAGGAGAGGAGTGTGGGAGGTATGACAGTGATCGGTACGTACAGGAGAGGAGTGTGGGGGTATGACAGTGATCGGTATGTACAGGAGAGGAGTGTGGGGGGTATGACAGTGATCGGTATGTACAGAATAGGAGTGTGTGGGGGGGTATGACCGTGATCGGTATGTACAGGAGAGGAGTGTGGGGGGTATGACAGTGATCGGTATGTACAGGAGAGAAGTGGGGGGGGGGTATGACAGTGATCGGTATGTACAGGAGAGGAGTGTGGGGGGTATGACAGTGGATGGTATGTACAGGAGAGGAGTGTGGAGGGTGGACAGTGGGTATGACAGGAGAGGAGTGTGTGGGGGTATCGGTATGTACAGGAGAGGAGTGTGGGGGTATGACAGTGATGGTATGTACAGGAGAGGAGTGTGGAGGGTGTGACAGTGATCGGTATGTACTACAGGAGAGGAGTGTGGAGGGTGTGGAGGTGTGACAGTGATCGGTATGTACAGGAGAGGAGTGTGGGGGGTATGACAGTGATCGGGTATGTACAGGAGAGGAGTGTGTGGGGTGGGTATGACCGTGATTGGTATGTACAGGAGAGGAGTGTGGGGGTATGACAGTGATCGGTATGTACAGGAGAGGAGTGTGGAGGTATGACAGTGGGCAGTATGTACAGGAGAGGAGTGTGGAGGTATGACAGTGAGCGATATGTTCAGGAGAGGAGTGTGGAGGTATGACAGTGGGCAGTATGTACAGGAGAGGAGTGTGGAGGTATGACAGTGATCGGTATGTACAGGAGAGGAGTGTGGAGGTATGACAGTGATCGGTATGTACAGGAGAGGAGTGTGGGGTATGACAGTGATCGGTATGTACAGGAGAGGAGTGTGGAGGTGTGGCAGTGATCAGTATGTACAGGAAAGGAGTGTGGGGGTATGACAGTGATCGGTATGTACAGGAGAGGAGTGTGGGGGTATGACAGTGATCGGTATGTACAGGAGAGGAGTGTGGAGGGTATGACAGTGATCGGTATGTACAGGAGAGGAGTGTGGAGGGTGTGACAGTGATCGGTGTGTATAGGAGAGGAGTGTGGGGGGGTGTGACAGTTATCGGTATGTACAGGAGAGGAGTGTGGAGGTATGACAGAGATCGGTATGTACAGGAGAGGAGTGTGGGGGTGTGAGAGTGGACACTATGTTTGGAAGAGAAGCGTGGTGGGAGGGGATGACAGTGGACACTATGTTTGGAAGAAGCGGTAGGAGGGGATGACAGTGGGCACTATGTTTGGGAGAAGCGATGGGAGGGGATGACAGTGGGCACTATGTTTGGGAGAAGCGGTAGGAGGGGGGATGACAGTGGGCACTATGTTTGGGAGAAACGATGGGGGGGGATGACAGTGTGCACTATGTTCGGGAGAAGCGGTAGGAGGGGATGACAGTGGGCACTATGTTCGGGAGAAGCGGTAGGAGGGGATGACAGTGGGCACTATGTTTGGGAGAAGCGATGGGAGGGGATGACAGTGTGCACTATGTTCGGGAGAAGCGGTAGGAGGGGATGACAGTGGGCACTATGTTCGGGAGAAGCGGTAGGAGGGGATGACAGTGGGCACTATGGGAGAAGCGGTAGGAGGGTATGACAGTGGGCACTATGTTTGGGAGAAGCAATGGGAGGGGATGACAGTGGGCACTATGTTTGGGAGAAGCAATGGGTGGGGATGACAGTGTGCACTATGTTCGGGAGAAGCGGTAGGAGGGTATGACAGTGGGCACTATGTTTGGGAGAAGCGGTAGGAGGGGATGACAGTGGGCACTATGGGAGAAGCGGTAGGAGGGGATGACAGTGTGTACTATGTTCGGGAGAAGCAGTAGGAGGGGATGACAGTGTGCACTATGTTCGGGAGAAGCGGTAGGAGGGGGGGTGACAGTGTGCACTATGTTCGGGAGAAGCGGTAGGAGGGGATGGGGATGACAGTGGGCAGTATGTTCGGGAGAAGCGGTAGGAGGGGATGACAGTGGGCACTATGTTTGGGAGAAGCGGGTAGGAGGGGATGACAGTGGGCACTATGTTTGGGAGAAGCAGTAGGAGGGGATGACAGTAGGCACTATGTTTGGGAGAAGCGGTAGGAGGGGATGACCGTGGGCACTATGTTTGGGAGAAGCGGTGGGAGGGGATGACAGTGGGCACTATGTTTGGGAGAAGTGGTAGGAGGGGATGACCGTGGGCACTATGTTTGGGAGAAGCGGTGGGAGGGGATGACAGTGGGCACTATGTTTGGGAGAAGCAGTAGGAGGGTATGGCAGTGGGCACTATGTTTGGGAGAAGCGGTAGGAGGGTATGGCAGTGGGCACTATGTTTGGGAGAAGCGGTAGGATGGGATGACAGTGGGCACTATGTTTGGGAGAAGCGGTAGGAGGGGATGACAGTGGGCACTATGTTCGGGAGAAGCGGTAGGAGGGGGGATGACAGTGTGCACTATGTTCGGGAGAAGCGGTAGGAGGGGATGACAGTGGGCACTATGTTTGGGAGAAGCGGTGGGAGGGGATGACAGTGGGCACTATGTTTGGGAGAAGCGGTTTTTTAGGAGGGGATGACAGTGTGCACTTTGTTCGGGAGAAGCGGTAGGAGGGTATGACAGTGGGCACTATGTTTGGGAGAAGCGGTGGGAGGGGATGACAGTGGGTGAAGCTGGAGTACACAATTCTCTGATTTGATATAGGTGACACAATGATAATTCCTTCCTCACTTTTGGGGTAAAATAAAGTTTGTTTATTTTTTTAGGGGCTCTGAAGGTCGCAATGAGGACCCCAGTTGTGTCAGTCCTGAGGGATGAAGATGTCTCCATTCCCTGTGATATATATGATCTGAATTTCAGGAGAGCCATTTCAGTAGTATGGAAAAGGACATCGGAGGACGGCACGGAATACGATGTCTATGAATATATAGATGGAAACGCGAAGTCATACAGACCGGGATCTTACATGGAGACGACGAAGATCCAGTATGGAAGCGCAGAGCTGCACATCCCCCGGGCGCAGTTCTCTGATGAGGGGCAGTACTTCTGTAGGGTGATAAATACTCCAGAACTAGCTGTAGGTAGATCTACCCTACAGGTGTCAGGTGAGTGGAGGCAACCTTCCATATGATGGTCTTGGAATACTTTTATTACTATTATACAGGATTTATATAGCGCCCACAGTGTGTGCAGTGCTGTACAACATAAAGGCAGACATTACAATTACAATACAATTTGGTACAAGAGGAAACAGAGGGTCCTGATCCTGAGAGCTTACAATCTAGGAGGAAAGGTTGAGTGATACAAAAGGTAATAGCTGTAGGGGGATGGGCTGATTTAGGAAATAAAAGGCATTTTACTAGGTAGAAGCAGGATAGGCTTCTTTAAAGAGAAACATTTTCAGGGATCGTCTAAAGGTGGATATATTAGGAGACAGCCGGACAGATTGGGGTAGGCAGTTCCATAGGATGGGAGAAGTCCTGGAGGCGAGCATGGGAAGAGGTGACACAGGAACTAGAGAGCAGAAGGTCTTGGGAGGTTGGTTGATATGTTTAGACCAGGTTGGTGATGTAGCTGGGGGTGGAGTTGTGGATAGCTTTGTAAGTTGTTTGTATTTTGAATTTTAGTCGTTGGGCGAGTTGAAGCCAATGGAGGGATTGGCAGAGAGGGGTGGAGGACATTGAATGGAGGCCAGTGGAGGGATTGGCAGAGAGGGGTTGAGGACATTGAATGGAGGCCAGTGGAGGGATTGGCAGAGAGGGGTGGAGGACACTGAATGGAGGCCAGTGGAGGGATTGGCAGAGAGGGGTGGAGGACACTGAATGGAGACCAGTGGAGGGATTGGCAGAGAGGGGTGGAGGCCAGTGGAGGGATTGGCAGAGAGGGGTAGTAGACACTGACCGGTTGGTAAGGTGGATGAGCCTGGCAGCAGTATTCATGATGGAATGGAGGAGGGGTGGCCTATGTAAAGGTAAGCCAATGAGGACTGAGTTGCAGTAGTTGAGGCGAGAGATGACCTGGGAGAGAATTTGGAGCTTTTTGCTATCGTTGGTTAAAAAGGGGCGTATTCTGGAGATGTTGCGGAGGTTGAGGCTCCATGATTTGGACAGGGATTGGATGTGAGCTTGAGAGGATAGTTCAGAATTCAGAGTTACCCCTAGCACTTTGGCATGCAGAGATGGGTTGATAGTGGTGCTATTGATCCTGACCAAGAAGTTAGGGGAAGAGGCCTGTGGGGGGAGGTAATATTATGAGCTCAGTTTTGGATATATTGAGTTTTAGGAAGTGGTGTGACATTCAGTCTGATATGTCTGTTAGTAAATCGGTGATATGTAAGGAAACTGATGGGGTGAGCTGAGGAGTAGAGATAGATTTGTGTGTCATCAGCATAGAAATGGTATTGAAAACCATGAGAAGCTATCGGCTGACCCAAGGAAGACGTGTAGATGGAAAATAGGAGAGGTCCAAGGACAGAACCTTGGGGGGGACCCCGACAGTCAGAGGAGTAGGAGAGGAGGAAGTAGAGTTTGTAAGTGACACTGAAGGTGCGGCGAGATAGGTAAGAATCGAACCAATAGAGAGTACAGTCATAGAGACCAAGTAAATGGAGTTTTTTGAGGAGGAGGGGGGGGGGTCAACTGTGTCAAAGGCAGTGGAGAGATCCAAGAGCAAGAGTACAGAATAGTCACCATTGGTTTCAGCGGTTAGTAAGTCGTTTGAGAGTTTTAGGAGAGCAGTTTCTGTGGAGTGTTGTGGGCGAAATCCAAACTCAAGGGGATCAAGAAGGTTATTCCCAATGAGGTGGGAGCTCAGTCGGTTGTAGTCTAGACGTTCAAGGAGTTTGGAGGCAAAAGAGAGAAAGGAGATGGGTCTTAGGTTGCCAGGATTGGTGGGGTCCAGTGAGGCCTTTTTAAGTGTGGGGGTGACTAGCATATTTTAGAGATTGGGGAACATGCCAGTAGAAAGGGAGAGATTGAAGATATGAGTTAGAGTGAAGGATAGAGCCAGAGGGTGACTGCAGTATTTGCGAGGGAACAGGGTCCAGGGGGCAGATGGTTAGGTGGGCTTTAGAAAACAGTTGACCAACCTCCTCTATAGTAGCTGGGTTACACAATGGAAGTATAGATTGTGCAGGTGGACAAGGGGTGTAGGGTGAGGGAGATGTCTGGTGGACAAGGGGTGTAGGGTGAGGGAGATGTCTGGTGGACAAGGGGTGTAGGGTGAGGGAGATATCTGGTGGACAAGGGAGTGTAGGGTGAGGGAGCTGTCTGGTGGACAAGGAGCGTAGGTTGAGGGAGATGTCTGGTGGACAAGGAGCGTAGGTTGAGGGAGATGTCTGGTGGACAAGGAGCGTAGGTTGAGGGAGATGTCTGGTGGACAAGGAGCGTAGGTTGAGGGAGATGTCTGGTGGACAAGGAGCGTAGGTTGAGGGAGATGTCTGGTGGACAAGGAGCGTAGGTTGAGGGAGAAGTCTGGTGGACAAGGAGCGTAGGTTGAGGGAGATGTCTGGTGGACAAGGAGCGTAGGTTGAGGAAGATGTCTGGTGGACAAGGAGCGTAGGATGAGGAAGATGTCTGGTGGACAAGGAGCGTAGGTTGAGGGAGATGTCTGGTGGACAAGGAGCGTAGGTTGAGGGAGATGTCTGGTGGACAAGGAGTGTAGAGTGAGGACGATATCTGTACAGTGGAGATCTCGTCACGAATTGTATCAATCTTCTTTTTGAAGTGATTAGCGATCTCCTGGGCAGTGAGTGAGTTAGTGGGTGGAGGTAAAGGATGAAGTAGAGAGTTAAAGGTAGAAAAGAATTGATGGGGATTGTGTGAGAGGGTGTTAATGAGAGGGATAACATAGGTCTGTGTGGAGACAAGAATTGTACATTGAAGGGCAGATTTATGTTGGTTGAAGTCTTGCTGGGTCCTAGTCTTACGCTGTAAATGCTCCAGAGCACGGCTACGTTTTTTGAGGCATCTGGTATTGTCTGTCTGCAAGGGCTGTAGCAGTCGTGGCCTAATTCTGTGTGTAGTGAGGGAGCCAATGTGTCCAGGGTGGATGACAGTGAACTATTGTAGACAGAAGTGGCCAGGTTGGGGCAGGAAAGGGCTAAGATTCTGTCATAGAGACAATCTGTTGCCAAAAAAAAGAAGAAAAGGGTTAAGATAACTGTTTCTATGGGTACCTGTTTGGTAGTTTGAAGACAAGGAGGAGGAAGCCAAGGAGAGAGTGAAGCTAATAAGAGCGCGATCAGAGAGAGGAAGAGGCAAGTTGGTGAGGTTGCAAGGAGTGTGCATAGGTAGGAGAATACATGGTTGAGGCAGTTACCATTGGAGTGAGTAGAAGCATGCGTCCATTGTTTTAGGTCAATGGAAGTGGTTAGGCTCAGAAGTTTAGAGGTAGCAGGAGTGCTAAGATTACCAGGGATGTTGAAGTCACCAAGAATGATTGTGTGAATGTCAAAAGAGCGAAAGTAAGGCAGCCAGGTAGAGAAGTCATCATTGATACCGGTCCAGGAGGCCGCAATTCTTAAAGAAACTGGAGAGAACAGATGGAGAGACTGACCTTCAAATGAGGAGAGGGTCAGAGAGGGAGGTGAATGGAGGACCTGAAAAGTGCTTTGAGGGGATAAGATTCCTACTTCATCTCCTTTCCGTCCACTATGCCTGGGAGAGTGAGTCCAGAGGAGACCACCATGGGAGAGGGCAGCAGGAGAGGGAAAGTCCGATTCATGAAGCCAGGTTTCCGTAATTGCAAGCAAGTGAATTGAGTCTGTGATAAAAAGGTCATGGACAGAGGTGAGTGTTACAGACAGAGCGGGCATTCCAGAGGGCACAGGGAAAGGGGAGGCTGGTTCTAGGAAGAAGAGGAATAGTAATCAGGTTGTGTGGACTGCAGCCGCTGTTGGAGGATAGGGGTGCCTGGTGTGCTGGTCAAAGGAAAAAGATGGCGGCCCAGGATTTGGGGAAATGTCTCCAGATGTTAGGAGAAGCAGAAGGGTGAGGGAGGTAATATGGGAGTATGACTTATACAGAGGGACAGGTTCCAGGGTCCTAGAGGTGTTATTAGTGTGTGGGTTCAGGATTAGCAGTAGTTGATGAGTGCAGTAATAAGGTGAAGACATTAGTGAGGGTATATATATGTGAGATGTGGGGGGGGAGAGGGGTGAAGGAGAGAGAGTTTGAAGAGAGAGAACACAACTGTGAGAAGGAGTAGGGAGTGCATGAGAAGGAGGACTAGGGGGGGTGCATGAGAATGAGGAGTAGGAGAGTGCATGAGAAGGAGCAGCAGGGGAGTGCATGAGGAGGAGTAGGGGAGTGCATGAGAAGGAGGAGTAGGGGAGTGCATGAGAAGGAGGAGTAGGGGAGTGCATGAGAAGGAGGAGTAGGGGGAGTGCATGAGAAGGAGGAGTAGGAGGGTGCATGAGAAGGAGGATTAGGAGGGTGCATGAGAAGGAGGATTAGGAGGGTGCATGAGAAGGAGGATTAGGAGAGTGCATGAGAAGGAGGACTAGGAGAGTGCATGAGAAGGAGGACTAGGAGAGTGCATGAGGAGGAGGACTAGGAGAGTGCATGAGGAGGAGGACTAGGAGAGTGCATGAGGAGGAGGAGTAGGGGAGTGCATGAGAAGGAGGAGTAGGGGAGTGCATGAGAAGGAGGAGTAGGAGGGTGCATGAGAAGGAGGATTAGGAGGGTGCATGAGGAGGACTAGGAGAGTGCATGAGGAGGAGGACTAGGGGAGTGCATGAGAAGGAGGACTAGGGGAGTGCATGAGAAGGAGGAGTAGGGGAGTGCATGAGAAGGAGGAGTAGGGGAGTGCATGAGAAGGAGGAGTAGGGGAGTGCATGAGAAGGAGGAGTAGGAGGGTGCATGAGAAGGAGGAGTAGGAGGGTGCATGAGAAGGAGGACTAGGCGAGTGCATGAGGAGGAGGACTAGGGGAGTGCATGAGGAGGAGGAGTAGGGGAGTGCATGAGAAGGAGGAGTAGGGGAGTGCATGAGAAGGAGGAGTAGGGGAGTGCATGAGAAGGAGGAGTAGGGGAGTGCATGAGAAGGAGGAGTAGGGGGGTGGATGAGAAGGAGGACTAGGAGGGTGCATGAGAAGGAGGAGTAGGGGAGTGCATGAGAAAGGAGGAGTAGGGGGGTGGATGAGAAGGAGGAGTAGGAGGGTGCATGAGAAGGAGGAGTAGGGGAGTGCATGAGAAGGAGGAGTAGGGGAGTGCATGAGAAGGAGGAGTAGGGGGGTGGATGAGGAGGAGTAGGAGGGTGCATGAGAAGGAGGAGTAGGGGAGTGCATGAGAAGGAGGAGTAGGGGAGTGCATGAGAAGGAGGAGTAGGGGGGGTGGATGAGAAGGAGGAGTAGGAGGGTGCATGAGAAGGAGGAGTAGGGGAGTGCATGAGAAGGAGGAGTAGGGAGTTCATGTTACCCAGTCTGCATCTTCATCTCACCACTCTGTAAGAGATGAAGATCTGGATGGGGAAACAGGTCACCTAAAGTCTGATTAGTATTGGAAGTTGTCTCCTCGCCGAGGTGCAGAGCTCAATGGTTCATCCATGTTGATCGTTGCCAATGCTGCCCCCCGGCTGTGCCTCCCCCAAGGAAGGCCTACATTTATACTGGGTTCGGGGGGATTGCCAATTAATCAATTAGGAATGCTTAGCAGAGACACATAACTAGCAGGGCAAACTTCTCCCACCAAAGGAGGACTACAAGAGGGCAGGAGGACTACAAGAGGGCAGGAGGACTACAAGAGGGCAGGAGGACTACAAGAGGGCAGGAGGACAACAAGAGGACAGGAGGACTACAAGAGGACAGAGTTGTACAGATTAGGATCATAAATTTGGGTTCGACAATAAGAGCAAAATAAACACCGCAGTAATATGCACAGTTAGAGATTCCGGAAGCGGTAACATGGGCGGAGTTAGAGATTCCGGAAGCGGTAACATGTGCGGAGTTAGAGATTCCGGAAGCGGTAACATGGGCGGAATTAGAGATTCCGGAAGCGGTAACATGGGCAGAGTTAGAAATTCCGGAAGCGGTAATACGGGCGGAGTTAGATTCTGGAAGCGGTAATATGGGCGGAGTTAGAGATTCCGGAAGCGGAACATGGGCAGAGTTAGAAATTCCAGAAGCGGTAATATGGGCGGAGTAAGA